TCCCGGGCGGCGCCGTCGCAGAGCAGAGTGCGCCAGTGTTCGAATCGGGAACCATTCGGGCCGTGCCCGGAGCGCCGGGGGCCACGTCCGATGTGCCTGGAGACGGAGGCCGTGAGCCTTTGCAACGTGTTCTGGTCTGGCGCCTGCGGCGCTTGTCCGTTCAGCACTGCCGGGGTGCCCTCTGGGAACAGTCGCTGCAGGGCTGCGTGGACGCCGTCGCCCGTGGCCGTGGCGGCGGGGCGGGCGGCGCTGGCCATGGCTTCACTAACCAAGTTTTCTCGGACCAGCGTTTCCACCCGTTTTGCCTGCTGCTCGGCCGCGGCCAGGCGTTCGGGGAGGGCGGCGCGCTGGGCGCCAGGGGAGGCGGCGATTCGCCAGTGGGCGGCCCAGTCGCCCCGTTCGGCCAGGCGCAGCCTCCTGGTGAGCTCCTGGCTAAGCCCTCTGCCTTTCACGGTCTTGCCTCCGCGTTGCTTCTGGTTCTGGTGAAGGAGAACACGGTCGAATAATGTGAAAAATTCTCGGCGCGTCGCTGCGTGGCCCCGCCCCCGGCGGACTGCGCCGTCAGCAGCGCCTGGGCGACACGCCCCCGTAAAAGCGCCAAGGCGTGGCAGACCTCGTCTGGCACTCTGACCACCGTGGGCACCACCGTGGGCACGTCGTAAGAGACTGAATCCCACCAAGGCAGGTTGGGCAGGTCTGGCGCTGGCTCAGGGCGTGCCCCGCCGGCGGGATCGTAGCTCTCGGGCAGCTCATGCGGGCCCCCGTCACCCGGCTGGCGGCCGCCCGGGTCCGCGCCTGCGTGCCGGATCCTCTTTGCACGTTGCACGTCGCCAACGTACTGCGCGCGGGTGGTCCTCCCCGGCCGATCGCAGAAGGCTCGCACCTTGTCTTGCGCCGCCTGCGCGAGGCTCTCCGTGCCGACCACGTTGTCGTAGGGGCCGAGTCCGCCCTCCACGCTCTCCGGGTGGTAGTAGAGTTTGTGCGCGAGGGTGTGGCTGAAGGCGCGAAGGTCTCCCCGTCGGATGGGCCTTTGCACGCGTCGGCGTGGCAATGGCAATTCCGGCGGCTCGCCATGACGTCGACGGCCCACGTGGTGACGTGCAGGTCGCGTTGCGTCAGGCGCGCTGCTGGGTGCGGCGCCGGCGGCGCCTCGACAGGGAAAGCGGGCCAGACCAAAGCTGCCGCTCCAAGCATCCCCAAGTCCGCCCCTCCCCAGGAGGCACCGGCGCAGACCACGAGGAGGCTCCATGACCGGCACTCCCACACTGGCCGGTGGACCCCAGCCGACCACGCGAGAACACCTCCAACTCCGACGACAGTTCGCCACGCGCTGCGGTGGGCCACGACAGCTCGCAATGCCATAGCTGGAACTGGGAGCCCGGAGGCGAGGCCGCGCGATCCCTATCCACCAAAGCCCCCACTCATCAAGGCCGCAGCTCCTCCGACCCGACTCCACACTGCTGGGTGGGCGATCGCCGATAGCGCCGTCAAGCTCAGCAGGCACACCGTTTCCACGACATGGAAGATATGAGTCAGGCATGCGTCTGCCCAGGCTGGCGCCTGGAGACTCAGAGGCGCGGCGTGTCCCAGAGACGTTGCTCCAGACCCCCCTCCCCGGCCTGTAGCGCTCAGAGCGCAGGTGCGGAGGTGGCGCAGGAAGAACAACTCCCCAGAGGATGTTCTCCCTCCGGGCGGGCCGTCGGGGAGGCGCCTCGCGCGAGCTACCGTCGTGCTGCTCAGCGTCATGCTGCTCGACGTGGGCGTGGCCCTGCAGGGCGTGGTGCCCCCCGTCGCCCAGGACATGCTGCTGGGACCACTCGCGGATGGCCACGTCCACGGGCTGCTACTCTCTGTCGTGCTGCTCCAGGTCGTGCTGCTCTCTGCCTTGCTGCTGGGACCACTCGCGGATGTCAACGTCCAAGGGCTGCTGCTCTCTGGCGTGCTGCTCGGGGTCGTGCTGCTCTCTGCCGTGCTGCTGGGACCACTCGCGGATGTCAACGTCCAAGGGCTGCTGCTCTCTGTCGTGCTGCTCAGGGTCGCGCTGCTCTCTGCCGCGCTGCTGGGACCACTCGCGGATGTCAGCATCCAAGGGCTGCTGCTCTCTGTCGTGCTGTTCCGGGTCGTGCTGCTCTCTGCCGTGCTGCTGGGACCACTCGTGGGTGTCAACGTCCAAGGGCTGCTGCTCTCTGTCGTGCTGCTCCGGGTCGTGCCGCTCCCTGTCGTGCTGCTGGGACCACTCTCGGATGTCAACGTCCAAGGGCTGCGGCTCTCTGACGTGCTGCTCCGGGTCGGGCTGCTCTCTGCCGAGCTGCAGGGGCCACTCGCGGATGTCAACGTCCAAGGGCTGCTGCTCTCTGTCGTGCTGATCTGGGTCGGGCTGCTCTCTGCCGTGCTGCTGGGACCACTCGCAGATGTCAACGTACAAGGGCTGCTGCTCTCTGTCTTGCTGCTCCGGGTCGTGCTGCTCTCGGCTGTGCTGCCGGGACCACTCGCGGATGTCAGCGTCCAAGGGCTGCTCCTCTCTGTCGTGCCGCTCCGTTGCTCTCAGTCGTGCTGCTCTCTGCCGTGCTACGAGGCTCACTTGCGGATGTGAACGTCCAAGGGCTGCTGCTCCGGGTCGCGCTGCTCTGGGTCGGGTTGCTCTCTGCCGTGCTGCTGGGACCACTCGCGGATGCCAACGTCCAAAGGGTGCTGCTCTCTGTCGTGCTGCTCCGGGCCGTGCTGCTCTCTGCCGTGCTGCTGGGACCACTCGCAGATGTCAACGTCCAAGGGCTGCTGCTCTCTGTCGTACTGCTCCGGGTCCTGCTGCTCTCTGCCGTGCTGTTGGGACCACTCGCGGGTGTCAGCGTCCAAGGGCTGCCTCTCTCTCCGGTCGTGCTGCTCTCTGCCGTGCCACTGGGACCACTCGCGGATGTCAGCGTCCAAGGGCTGCTGCAACCTGTCGTGCCGCTCCGGGTCGTGCTGCTCTCTGCCGTGCTGCTGGGGCCACTCGCGGATGCCAACGTCCAAGGGCTGCTGCTCTCTGTCGTGCTGCTCAGGGTCGTGCTGCTCTCTGCCGTCACGCTGGGACCACTCGCGGATGTCAACGTCCAAGGGCTGCTGCTCTCTGTCGTGCTGATCCGGGTCGGGCTGCTCTCTGCCGTGCTGCTGGGACCACTCGCAGATGTCAACGTACAAGGGCTGCTGCTCTCTGTCTTGCTGCTCCGGGTCGTGCTGCTCTCGGCTGTGCTGCTGGGACCACTCGCGGATGTCAGCGTCCAAGGGCTGCTCCTCTCTGTCGTGCCGCTCCGGGTCGTGCTACTCTCTGCCGTGCTGCTGGGACCACTCGCGGATGTCAACCTCCAAGGGCTGTTGCTCTCAGTCGTGCTGCTCTCTGCCGTGCTACGAGGCTCACTTGCGGATGTGAACGTCCACGGGCTGCTGCTCCGGGTCGCGCTGCTCTGGGTCGGGCTGCTCTCTGCCGTGCTGCTGGGACCACTCGCGGATGCCAACGTCCAAGGGCTGCTGCTCTCTGTCGTGCTGCTCCGGGCCGTGCTGCTCTCTGCCGTGCTGCTGGGACCACTCGCAGATGTCAACGTCCAAGGGCTGCTGCTCTCTGTCGTACTGCTCCGGGTCCTGCTGCTCTCTGCCGTGCTGTTGGGACCACTCGCGGGTGTCAGCGTCTAAGGGCTGCTCCTCTCTGTCGTGCTGCTCCGGGTCGTGCTGCTCTCTGCCGTGCCACTGGGACCACTCGCGGATGTCAGCGTCCAAGGGCTGCTGCAACCTGTCGTGCCGCTCCGGGTCGTGCTGCTCTCTGCCGTGCTGCTGGGGCCACTCGCGGATGCCAACGTCCAAGGGCTGCTGCTCTCTGTCGTGCTGCTCAGGGTCGTGCTGCTCTCTGCCGTCACGCTGGGACCACTCGCGGATGTCAACGTCCAAGGGCTGCTGCTCTCTGTCGTGCTGATCCAGGTCGGGCTGCTCTCTGCCGTGCTGCTGGGACCACTCGCAGATGTCAACGTACAAGGGCTGCTGCTCTCTGTCTTGCTGCTCCGGGTCGTGCTGCTCTCGGCTGTGCTGCTGGGACCACTCGCGGATGTCAGCGTCCAAGGGCTGCTCCTCTCTGTCGTGCCGCTCCGGGTCGTGCTACTCTCTGCCGTGCTGCTGGGACCACTCGCGGATGTCAACCTCCAAGGGCTGATGCTCTCAGTCGTGCTGCTCTCTGCCGTGCTACGAGGCTCACTTGCGGATGTGAACGTCCACGGGCTGCTGCTCCGGGTCGCGCTGCTCTGGGTCGGGCTGCTCTCTGCCGTGCTGCTGGGACCACTCGCGGATGCCAACGTCCAAGGGCTGCTGCTCTCTGTCGTGCTGCTCCGGGCCGTGCTGCTCTCTGCCGTGCTGCTGGGACCACTCGCAGATGTCAACGTCCAAGGGCTGCTGCTCTCTGTCGTACTGCTCCGGGTCCTGCTGCTCTCTGCCGTGCTGTTGGGACCACTCGCGGGTGTCAGCGTCTAAGGGCTGCTCCTCTCTGTCGTGCTGCTCCGGGTCGTGCTGCTCTCTGCCGTGCCACTGGGACCACTCGCGGATGTCAGCGTCCAAGGGCTGCTGCAACCTGTCGTGCCGCTCCGGGTCGTGCTGCTCTCTGCCGTGCTGCTGGGGCCACTCGCGGATGCCAACGTCCAAGGGCTGCTGCTCTCTGTCGTGCTGCTCAGGGTCGTGCTGCTCTCTGCCGTCACGCTGGGACCACTCGCGGATGTCAACGTCCAAGGGCTGCTGCTCTCTGTCGTGCTGATCCGGGTCGGGCTGCTCTCTGCCGTGCTGCCGGGACCACTTGCGGATGTCAACGTCCAAGGGCTGCTGCTCTCTGTCGTGGTGCTCCGGGTCGTGCTGCTCTCTGCCTCCTCCTCCTCCTCCTCCTCCTCCTCCTCCTCCTCCTCCTCCTCCTCCTGCTCCTCCTCCTCCTCGTCCTCCTCCTCCTCCTCCTCCTCCTCCTCCTCCTCCTCCTCCTCCTCCGGCTTCCGGGCCTGCACACCCCGCCGGTCCCCGTGCGGCCCCAGCGCTGGAAGGCGTAGCAGCGCCTCGGCCTTCCAGCGGGCACCCTTGCAGGACGCCGAAAGGCGGGTTACATCGGGACGGGCTTCGTGGCACCCGCTCCCGTGGTTGTCCTCCCTTCCCCCCCAATGCCTCCGCCCTCCACCCTCCCTCGTCACCTCTCGCCCTACACTCCCACCCCCCTGCTTCCATCAGTAAGAGCTCGGAGCACGACTCTGAGTCCAACCCAACGTCCACCACCACCCCGAATTAGCAAGAGGGCAGAAGAACCACCTTCAGGATAAGCATCCCCAACTACAGGCGACGCCCTGCAGCAAACGCACCGGAGGAAGGAATCGAGCAGGGCAGGACTGTTTGGTACAGCTGGGGCTGCTGAGTATAGGAAGGAGGACAGGCGACACCAACACCACCAGGGCGAGGAGATGCGAGGAGCAAGGGGGTCTCCCTGGTGGTGTGGTCCCCCCTCTCGCTCGAGACATCCCCAACCTCCAGCTCGGGGAGGCATCGTGCACCTCCTCTCTGGAGGTGGCCCCTCTGGTGGTGTTGGTGTCGCCTCTCCTTCCTCCGGTCAGCCAGCGCCAGCTATAGGGGGGGGCCGGGACCTTTCTCCGTCCTTGCGGAAGGCGCTTCTCTGAGCGGCCCCCCCCCCGGGGCGCACCTCCCGAGAGGGTCGGCTCTGGTCGTCGAGGGGGATCCCCACAATCGGCGGCGAGCCTTGGGGGTGGGACGTCAGGAGGGGCGAGCCTTCCCAGCAGGCCCGAAGTCCAGGGCCTTCCGAGAAGTTTCCTGAGCCTTCCCCGAAGACACAGAACACTTCTCAGAAGGCGCGAGGACTCCTGAGAAGTCCCGCCGCCTTCTGAGAAGGGCAGGAGGAGCAGCAGGAGGAGGTTGTGGGCCACAGAATGGTCGCACTCGGGGGCCATCGCCCAGGCGTGCCGGCCGTGGCCTGGCAGTCCTTGCCCGCCCCGTACTCCTCCAGTCATCGTGCTGCCCCAGGGGCCACAAGGAACACCGAAGAAGAAGCGGCGAGCCTCGACCACGAACAGGTCCCCTGGTCAAGATCTGAGCCACGGCCCGCGAATCAGGGCTCCTCCTGAGCCGAAAGCGGTCCTTGCTCCGGCGTCTTGGCTGCAGCCCGCCCGAAGAGCTGAAGCGAAGACCCGAGCGACGGAAAAGAGAGCACGACGCACGGCGACGCGGCGACCTTGCGCGATGGCTTACCGCGGGCCGCCAACACGGCGCACCACGTGGAGAAGAGGGCGCTCACGCGCGACCTTGCGCGGGCAGCGCAGGCGCAAAGTTCCGCGGAGCCGGCTTTGTTTCACGTCGCCCACCTGGTTCTAAAGCAACCCATGGCGTCCCTCGCTTTGTAGGGGGCTGGCAAGATTTCCCAGGAGTCCGCTTATCGCGGTTGACGCCACCTTGTCCCCATTCTCATGTTACGTCCACGCATGCGCTTCTTACTCCCCCCGCTCCCCGCGTCCCTCCATTTTCTATCCCACATCGTCCTCATCCTCCGCCCCATCCCCCGTTCTCACCTCCTCCTCCTCCTCCTCCTCCTCCTCCTCCTCCTGCTCCTCCTCATCATCCTCCTTCCCCTCGCCCTCCGCCTCCTCCTCCTCCCCATCCTCCTTCTCTTCGTTCCTTCTTCCTAAACCGCCCTCCACCCCCTCCCCTCGGCACTCCTTCCCAGCTCTCCCGGAAGCGAGCCAGGCCAGATCATGGCCATGACACGTTTCCCACCATCCGCGCCCGTCTTTCGGCGCGCGACCTTGGATCTTCCAGCCCCTGCAGCAAATAGTCCGAGGCCAAAATAACATGTGTATATATGTATATATGATCCAGGTCTCGGGTGCCCGCCCCCAGACACCCCAATGGGCCTGGGCACCCCTCCGCTGTGGGTTTGGTGTGGCCTGTCGCCTGTGAGTGTGGGGTGGTGGGGGCCGTCGTCGTAATTTTCGTCTTCGTCGTCGTCGAGTCTTCAGACTCGGCATCGACATCCGCATCGGCATCAGACGGCGACGACGACGACGATGACGACGGCGACGACGGCGGCGACGACGGCGACGACGGCGACGACGACGACTGCGACGACGACGACGGTGAAGACGACGACGGCGGCGACGTCGTCCCCCCCCATCTCATCCGGGGGGGCCGCCGAGTCCTGGGACCCATCCTATCTGCGGGGGGGGGGTCGCCGGACCGGAAGCCGCCAGGATCATATAGGATCCAGGGTTGCCCCCCCCGAAGCATGTGGGAACGAGCACCCCCCTGGATGGGTACGCTCGTGAGCATCGCGAAGGCCTCGCGAATAGGATCGTTCCCCCCCCCCTCTGCGATCGTGGCCCTGTGGGCGTGGCGTGGTGGAGGGAGCCGGTGCACCCCCCGCCCTCCCCCTGCGGGTTTGGGGTGGTTCGTCGTCGTCGTTGTCGTCGTCGTCGTCGTCGTCGACGTCAACGGCGTCGGCGTCGGCGTCGGCGTCCCCCCTCATCTCATCTGGAGGGGCGGGGCCTGTGGAACTCTGGGACCCATCCCATTTTGGGGTGGGGCCTGTGAACCCTCGGCCTGGGATCAGACATATATATATATACACACACATCTGTAGATGTATGCGTGCCCACAACCTGAGGAGCCGATGTCCCAGGACCCCAGGAGGCGGTGAACACGGATACTCGAGAGCACCAGGGGACCCACCGATATACATTTTATTTATATATATATGTATACATATATATCTATATATCCAAATCCATATCCATATCCATATCCGTATCCATCACCTCCTGAGGTCCTGGAGCATCGGCTCCCAACGCGGTGGATGCATATAAACTCCGGCCTCGGAAATAGTACCGGTCGCTGCCGCTAGCAGGCTCCACGCAGATCAGCCTCGCGTCCAAGCTGGGCAGCACGCGGGCGCGCGACGCCAGCGCCGCGTCCTGGCGCGCGACGCCCCTGTCCACCGCACCACTGAACTCGGTGGACCCCTTGCGGAAACCCGCGAGGCCCCTGATGGCCGACGGCGCCTTCGCGGCGGGCTTCTTCCGTGATGGGCCCGTTTTCCAGGACCACCACCACCATTAGTTGGAGGGGGAGGGGGGGGGGGGTCCTCCTCCTCCTCCTCCTCCCCCTCCTCGTCCTCCACCTCCTTCCCCCCTCGAACTTGCGGTGGTGGTGGTGGAGAACAGGCCCATCATTCCCGCTACGCGCAAGAGCGACCCTGGGCAAGAGTGATCCTCGGTGCGCGGCTTGCCGGTCGACGCCTGCGATGCGACGGCGGCGGCCTGCGATCGTGGGTTGAACCCCCCCGGCGTCCGCCCCCACGCCCCCCACAAATGACGAACGAGCAACACACACCCATACCCATAGGGGGGTCGTTGGGAGGAGGACTGGCTATGGGTATGGGTGCGGGTTGTCGGACCCTGGGGAACGCTCCCGTTCGAGCGGGGACCCCCATCCGACAACACGCACCCATAGCCCTCTCCGACCCCTCTATGGGTATGGGTATGGGTGTTTGTTGTTGGTTCGTCAACAAAGGCGCGCATCAGAAGTCACCTCGGCGAAGATTCACTGTTGCGTGTAGCCAGCCTTCGCGGCGGGCTTCCTGGTCAGCCTGGATTTGGCGACACGCCGGATCTTGGGGCCCATCCTGCACAGGCTGGCCCGGACAGGCTTGGACCGATCAACGCCTGGCCCGTTCCCAGTCGGAGCAGCACGCGCCAGTGACTCAGACCAGGACGACAACTGCGGTTGTGCAGGGAACAACACATGAACTTAGAATGCTGATGGGAGGAAACATCACAGTGGAACTCGTATAGGGAACTCGTTAGGATTCACGGGCGTTCGACAGACGAGCCGTCGAGCCAGGAATCGACGATCGGCGTGACGACTGATAGACCCACAGAAGGGGCGGGCACAACCAGAGGCAAAGAGAGTGATATGCGCGCTCGTTTGAAACTCACAATCTTATCCCACATTCCTCCTTCTCCTCCTCGTCCTCCTGGAGTCCTCCTCCTCCTCCTCCTCCCCCTCTGCCTACTCAAACTCCTCTTCATCAGATCAGTCCAGATATCAGGGCCTCTCGAAGAATACAACAGAAGGGAGGCGCCACATGCTCGAAGCACGGCAACACAGAGTGGCGCGCTGGTTCGAGAGCTGTTGCTCACTCTGTCTCATCAGCGACTCGGGATGTACGTCACGTCATTCCCATCACCACAATCATCATCATCATCATCATCATCATCATCATCATCATCATCATCATCATCATCATCATCATCATCATCATCATCATCATCATCATCATCATCGATCATTGTCCTGGCGGCGAGGGCGCACCACTTCCCCATGGTCATCGTTCGTTCCGCCCTTTCCATGTACTTCGCACCGCGCCGGCTCCAGTGGAGCTCGGCGCACTCCAAGGCGGTCCAAGCCTGTTGCGGCGTCCTGCCTGGATGCGCGCTGGCCAGCGCACTGCTGCAGCTGGCGATGCTCACGCCCATGGACGAGCTGATGCGCCTGACCGCGCACCAGCCGCGGACGCTGGCCATCTATGCTGATGACTTGACGGTGCAGATCCGCGCGGCCCTGCGGGTCATAATGGAGCGGGCGACTGACTTCTTGGAGCGGCTCGCCCTCGTCCTGCAGGAGGATCTGGAGCTGCCCATTGCGCGGCACAAGGCGCGGGTCACGTCTTCACGAATGCAGGTCGCGCGCGAGGTCGCTCGCCGCCTGCGGCGCCACGGATTCCGAGCCTGCCAGGCGTTGGAGGTCCTGGGCGTGGAGGCCCGCCCTGGTAGACCGCTCCGCTTCTCATCGCTGCGCAAGCGGGCCAGGCGGGTCCGCGCCAGGCTGCCGCGTTTTCGACGACTTCGTGGCCTCGGCGCGCAGCTGGGCCGTCTGACGCGTGCCTCGCTTCCTGCAGCTCTCCAGTACGGTCTGCCTGCCACGGGGGCCCCGCCGACCTTGGTCGCCATGATGCGACGCATGCTCCGGCGGGGCTGGGGACGGCTGGCAGCGGGTTCTTCGACTTGGCTGGCAGCCTGCTTGGAACCAGGGGCCCACGCCGAGCCGCAGCTGGCGGCGTGGACGCAGCCCTTATTCAATTGGGCGCTGATGGCCGTGGACCCGAGGACTGACAAGTCGGACATGCAGCGAGCGTGGCAGCTCCAAGCCCCCTCTGTCCTGCTGGCCCCCCGCCCCTGGCGCAAGGTCATGGGCCCTGCCGGCGCGGTATGCCTGGCGCTGAGAGACCTGGGCTGGGACGCGTCCTCCGCCTTCGCCTGGCGCACGGACGAGGGCGACGCGTTGGACCTACGCATCGCGGCCCCTTCCACGGTCCAGCAGCTGGCGAGACAGTCCGCCATGCGCGCCATGTGGCGGCGCTGGGCTGCCATGCCCGACCCCGCGCCTGAACTGGGCCCAGTGCGCTGACAGCCGCAGGGCTACTGGCTGGAGCCGCCTGCGGCGCTGCTGCGCAGGCCCACTACCCGCTGGAGGCTCACAGACTCTGGCGCCGGCGCCGTCCGGTCTCTCGTCGCGGGTGCCACCTGGTCCCAGGCTCGACTGCACAGGTACGGCTACGCGGCCGACGGGCTATGTCGACGATGCTGGGCCGCGCCTGGCACATCAGTTAACCGTTACTGGCACTGCGAGCCGTGCCAGCCCGAGCGGGAGCTGGGCTTGGATGAGGCCTTGATCGACGGGCTGCCACACATCATGCAGAACGATCCGCGCTGGGCGCGCCTGCTGGTTCCGCTGTCCTCGCTACCTGTTCCTCCTCCCCGTGACGACAGCGGCCGCTGGCACGCGCTGCTGGCAGCCCCAGGCTTCATGGTCACCGGCCTCATCTACGCCGACGGCTCCTGCCTGAAGCATTGGAGCCGCCCGCAGGCCGCGAGAGCGGGCTGGGGTTTCGTTATCCTCGAGAGCTTCCAGACCGTCGGCGGCTACTACGGCGCGGTGCCTGGACCAGTCCAATCTTCGCCCAGGGCCGAACTCTGGGCGGTCATTCAGGTCCTGCTAGTCGCCGTTCCGCCCTTCTGCATCCACACGGACCACCTGGAGGTTATCCTCGGCCTGGCGCGCGGGCGCGCGTGGGCACATTGTCCCAGGCGCTCGAATCGCGATCTGTGGGTGCAGCTGTGGGCCAAATTGGATGACCACGGCGGCCTCTCCTCGGACGTGCGCATCGTTCACGTCCGTGGGCACCAGAGCGGCAACGACCAGCATCGGCATGGCAACGACTGGGCGGACGCGCTCGCTCGCTTGGGATCGGGGCTCCACTGCTTCACGGACCAGCAGAAGGCGGAGTCCAAGGTCCTCCTTCGACACCTTCGTCAGACGGCCTGCTGGGTGGCAGCGGTGCACGACGGCCTGATGTCTGGGGCCTTGGCGCCGGATCGCGACCCACGGCCGCCGCGAGCACGAGGGCGGCGGACGCGCCAGCCGCGGCGACGCCGTGGTGAGCCATGCGTGACGCCCGCCTATGCTCATGCTCCGTTTTTCGCTGCCTCGTGGTGGCGATGCGCCTGGTGCGCTAGTAAAGCTCGCACGTTGGCTGGTCGCGCGCGTATGCTCCGCCAGACGTGCAGGGGGAGGGAGCTCAAGGCGCGGGCCCAGGCGGCTCGGGGGGATGTGGTCGAGCGGGCCTCTGAGCTTCCTCCTCCTCCTCCTCCGCGCCCCGCGGCCGCCCCCGCAGCCCTCGGCGCGGCCCTAAATCAGGATGCCGGCATGTCGAGCCAGAGCTCGGCGGCCCCAGGCGGGGGGGAGGGTGCCCCAGTCGGTCTTTCTCCGCCCCAGGCTGCCCATGAACCTCCCCGCAAGCGAGTGCGTTTCGCCGAGGACGTCGAGCCGGCGGAACGCAGTCCGGCCACGTCCACCGCCCCCCAGGCGATGGTGGCGGCCGCGGCGCTCATGACTGGAGCTGCGCTGACGGCTTTTGTGCCTTCCTCGTCCTCCGAGCCGTCGGCTGGATCCGCTTCTGGAGCTCTGGCGACGGATCCTGACTCGTGTGGGGCCGGCGCGGACTTCCCTGGAGCTCCCGCGCCGTCACGCGGTCAGAGGCGCCCTGCCTCTGCTCCCTCTGCCCGTGTCGTGCGGCCTCGGACTTCTGCGTCTTCGGGATCGGCTGGATCGCACCCTGGAGCTCTGGCGCTGGAGGCCCCTGTGGGGGGTTCGGCTGGATCCCCACCGCCTGCGGTTGGCGGTTTCCCTGGAGCTCTCGCGCCCAGTCGGCCGCTGGCCAGGCCTGCGGGCCCACCGGGGAGTGCGGCCCCCCGTCCAAAGAGGTCTCGGGGGGGGCAGCCTGGGGCGAATTCGGCAACCCCACCTGCTGCGCCTCCCCCCGAGTCTGGCCCCGTGCCGCCTGAGGCATGCAGGGGGCACAGACTCAGGGTCGCAGGCGAGTTCGTGGCGTGCACGGCGTGCGGATCCTATTCGCGAGGCGCGGCTCGTGGAGGCCTGCTGCTGCCTTGCGATCCAACCCAACTCCGTCGAGAGCCGAACAAGCGTGATCGTTTGAATCGGTTTTTGCGAGGTTTTCGCCCCGACGGCTCTAATGTCAGGATTCCTGTCCATCGTGCCCTCGTCGTTGGAGATGAGGCTCTGGCATGGCTATTGCTCGCGTGATCCGTTCGTGTTCGACTGTCATGTGTGCTGTCGCCTCCACTGAGGCGCGGAGAGGACGCCCTGGCCGCGATGCTCGTCTGGGTCGTTGGGCCGCCTCTTCGCTCGTTCTGCTCATTCGACGCGCGCGGCGCTCGATCCGAGCTCGGTCCCGATCATCATCATCATCATCATCATCATCATCATCATCATCATCATCATCATCATCATCATCATCATCATCATCATCATCATCATCATCATCATCATCATCATCATCATCATCATCATCATCATCATCATCATCATCATCATCATCATCATCATCATCATCATCGTAGCCATTTTGGCTCAAGCCGGTGTGCTAGCGGACCTCAGCGGCTGGCGCGGCTTGGGATGGCGCGGGCGGCGGCCCCCTCGCGGGAGGACGCTGGTGGCGGCGCGCTGGGCCCGAGTGCGGCACGGCGGCAGCGCAGGCGTGCTAGCAAGGCTGGGGCTCGCTGGTCGGGGGACGTGCTCGTCCACGACCTGCAGCGGGCGGTCAAGTTCTGGAGAGGCAGCTACGAGAAGCTGGCGGCGGCGCTGGGAGACCCCTCCGTCGCGGACCACCTCGCGGTGGTGGCGGGGCACCTGCACGGCCTGGTCCACGACAAGGTCGCGTCGCCCGTCGATACGCTGCGGAGGAACGTGGCGCTCCACTCGGCCGTGGTGCCGTGGCCGCTGGCGGCGGCCCCTGCTGCGGCGCTGCGCCGCGCCCAAAGGGCGCGCGGCTGCCCGCGGTCCCCCGGTTCCCCGCGCTTAACGGCGCGGCGGCGCCCTTCGTGCCGTGCCGCGGCTACTTCATGGGCGACGTCATGGGCGGCACCGTCGACAGCGCCGACGTCGGCCTCGTCAAGGGCGAGGTCGGCGGCGCGAGCGACGGCTTCGCGGTGAGAGAGCTGCTCACGGTCGACAGGCTGCTCGAGGGCCTCGGGGTGCGAGGCGACGTGGGCGCCACCACCGAGGTCCGTGAGGAGCTGGTGGTGGAGGAGTTCGTGCAGGATGGTCTCGAGGAGCTGGAGGACGCGCAGTACCTGGGCGAGGTCGGGGGGCACGGCCCCACGGCACTGGGGCAGGGCGGCGTTTTCGGCGTGCTGTCCGTCGACGTGGACGGGTTCAGCGTCGACGGCACCGTCCCGTCAGCTCCTGCGAGCGACGCCGAGGAGTTCGAGGAGGAGGAGGAGCTGGAGGCCCACGTTTACGATGACGGCGCCGACGGCCAGAAGCTGGCCGTGGTGCAGAGCCACGGCGACGTGGGCGCAGGCGGGGGCCTCTCGGACGGTGAGCCTGCAGGCAAGGACGGCGCCGTGGCGGGGATCGAGGGGACGACGCGCTTCTTCGACTGGATAAACGGCGAGGCGCTCCTCGGCCCCAACGGCCCCGTGGAGAAGGCCCACTGCCTGGACCGCGCCAGCCTCGACGCGCTGGTGGCCGCGTCCACGATGCAGTGCGACGTAGTGGAGGTGCTCCGCTGGTGGGCGCTGGACAGGGCCAAAGACGACCACGCCGCGGAGCGCGACGGGGGCACAGACAAGGGCATGGACATGGACGAGTTCATGCAGGCAGTACGGGCCGAGGCCCAAGGAGCAGACGGAGCGAGTGGGGTGTAGATTTGGTGCGCCGCACTAGAATGTCGCGGCAGTGCGGTGGGCGTTGGCGTTTCGGCCTCGACTCACCTTGGGAGAGCGGGATCATAGTCATCATCATCAGCAGCAGCAGCAACAGCAGCATCATCACCAGTATCGACATCAGCACCAGCAGCATCATCAGCATCCTCCTCCTCCTCCTCCTCCTCCTCATCATCATCATCATCACCGTCATCACCAACAACAAAACCATCGTCGTCGTCGTCAACGCCGTCGTCATCGTTACCACCACCATCACAATCACCATCACCATCACCATCACGATCATCATCATGACCATCATCATCACCATCACTATCATCATCACGATCATCATCACCAACATCATCATTACAAACATCATCATCATTACCATCATCATATCAACAGCATCGTCATCACCATCATAAACATCATCCCCATCATCATCAACAACATCACCATCGTCGTCGTCAACGCCGTCGTCATCGTTACCAACACCATCACAATCACAATCACCACCACCATCACAATCACTACCACCATCATCATCACAATCAACATCACCATCATCGCCATAATAAACACATTCATCATCAACATCAGCACAACCATCATCATATCAACATCATCATCGTCATCATCATCATCATCACCCAATCACCATCAACAACATCACCATCGTCGTCGCCAACGCCGTCGTCATCGTTACCACCACCAGCACCATCACCATCACCATCACTATCATCATCATCATCACCGCCACCATCACCATCATCATCATTACAATTACAATACTCATCATCAACATCAGCACAACCATCATCAGATCAGCGTCATCATCGTCATCACCATCTTCATCATCACCATGATCCTCAACAGCATCACCATCGTCGCCGTCAGCGCATTCGCCATCGTTACCACCATCACCATCATCACCGTACTCATCATCATTACAGTCACAATCCGCCGACCCCTTGGGGTTCATGGGCGTGTGAGATCTCCCCCCTCCCCAAACCCCTCCCACGGGAGCCCGGTCCGGTCGATTTGGAGGGGGGGGGGGGTCTGTTCAAATTCCCGGGTTCCCCCGGTTCCCCCGGTTCCCCCGATTCCCCCGGGGGGGTCATCCGCTCCCGAAAATCCTGCAAGGACTCCTCCGGTGGCCTCGAAATGGCCCCGGGACGCACCACGACGGTTCAAGAGGACCTCCACGTGGCCTTCGGTGGCCCCAAGATTCCCCAATATGGGCTCAAGACAGCCCACGATGCCTCCAAGACGCTCCAAGAGGCCCCGAAGGGGCGCTCCAAGAAGGTCCAAAGCAGCGAAAATCATTGATTTTCCATGGGGGAACGTACATTTTTAGCATCGACGACTTTTCAGCCTGCACGGAGTTCCAGCCAGTCTAAGAGGCCCCCAAGGCCACCCCATGACGTCTCAAAAGGGTCCCAAAAGGCGCCCAAGACGGCCCAAAACGGCGCCAAGACGGCCCCAGAGGCTCCCGAATCGGCCCAAAAGAGTCCCAAGACGGCTCCTAGAGGGGCCCCAGCGGCGGAGCCCGAACCGAAAATCCGAGCCCTCCGCTCCCACCTGGCCCTGAGACACCCCACGAGCCGCCCAAAAGGTCCCAAGAGACCCCCAAACGACATCCAAAAAGCATCCGAGAGGCGCAAAAGAGGCCCCAAGAGGTCCCAAAACGGCGATCAGTGAACTTCGAAACTACCTCCGGGACCTGAAACCGGAGATTTGCACCCCCCCGGGCCCGGCACGAGCGCATCACGGGACTTTTCCGGGGTCAAGAGGGCCTAAACACGGGCCAAGAAGGCCCCAAGAAACCTCCAAGACGGCCCACGAGAGCTCCGAGACGCCAAACGACCTCTCCGACTTCGGTTGTCTTCTCTTGCACGCGCCGCTCCTGTCGCCTTTTGATGATTCCCCACCTTCTGCCGCTGCAAATGTTTCGAGTCCGAGAACGCTCCTCCGCACGCCGCGCACGTCACGTCGCACCTCGTTCTCTCGCCCCTCCGCGCATTTCCGACAGAGCCTCTCCCCCGATGAATTGTGTTTCTTCTGTGCACCCGACATTTCCGCCTGCTCTTTCAACAGCGTCAGACATGTCTTGCTCGAACGCATTTAAGGGGTCGGCGGATGTGGCGTAAGCCTGAAGAATCATCATCAGCATCAGCATCGTCATCATCATAATCGTCATCACCACCACCACCATCATCATCATCACCATCATCAGCATCAGCATCATCATCGTTGTCCTCACCGTCCTGCTCCGCTCCGCCTCTTTCTCGTCCTCCTCCTCGTCTTCATCCCAATCATCGTCGCCAGCAGCATCAACATCATCGCCATCCCTATCCTCCCTCTCCTCCTCCTCGTCATCCTCCTCCTCATCATCAGAACCAGCATCATAATCCTCATCATCATCATCCTCAACGTCATCATCAGCAGCATCACCACAATCACCATCATCATCACAATCGTCAACATCATCATCAACTATAGCACCATCATCATCATCATCATCATCAGCAGCATCATCATCATCGTCATCGTCATCGTCATGATCATCATCATCATCATCGTCATCGTCATCACCACCAGCACCACCAGCACCACCAGCAACACCAAATTCACTCCTGCCAAGCTGCTGCACAGGCCGGGTGGCGGTTTGCCGCGGGCAGCTGGAGAAGCACGAGGGGGGACAAGAGGACACGCAGCCGTACCCGAGGGAGGAGGAGCAGCGCCAGAGGCCGCATGACGCGCGCGGAGGGGCAGCTGGCGCGGCACTTTTCGGTGAAACGCGCACCTGGCACGGACCGCTCCCCAGAGCGATAGGCCACTCCTGAGCTGGAGACACCACAACTGCACACGCATGACCTCTCCGAGGCCCGCGCGGACTGCTCGCGTCGGCGCTGCGGCCCCCCCCCCAGGCGCGCGAGGCGCGGAGGGGGCGGTGTTGGAGGCGCCGCCGGCGGGCGTCCAAAGCCGACCCGAGAGATCCGCGCGACGCTCCGAAAGTTCATACGTTTGTGCAGCTTGCGAGGCGGTGATGAGTCCATATCCACCGCCTGGGAACCGACGTCCTGGTGCCCCAGCGGGCGGTGGATGTGGACATAGTTTGGCCCCCAGGGGCCGAATGTATCCATATCCACCGCCTGCCGAGGTCCCCGAAAATTGATACTCCAGGCGGTGGTCATGTACGAATTCCCGCCTCGGACAGGTTGTGTTCTTCGATGACGGGCCTCCGTTGCACCATTATTCCTTGCCCTCAGCACTCGCCTCTGATATGGGGGAGAGGAACAGGATCACGGGCGGCGGGTGAAGAATCACGAGCGAGAGGAGGAGATGGAGAAGCGAGCGGACAAAACGCGACGCGGTCACCGGCGCACTGACGCGGTGGAGCCCGAAGGCCCAGCCCGAGCGTACGACATGCCCACGGCCAGCCGACCGCCCAGGACCAGAGGGCACGCAGCAGCTGGACGCCGACAGCAAGTGGCTAAAAACAACGACCCCCGCCTCCCCAGGGCGAGAAGGCGTGTAGGGTGATTGGCTGGCATCCCTCCCCCTCTCAGGAGAGCAGCGAAGAGGGCAACCAGCGAGAAATGACACAGGGAGGCTGTGACGGCCTGGACCTCGATAAGACCGCACGAAATAATCCCTGAAGCTCCCACCTCAGCCTGGCAACGTCTGTTGACTCCTCACCTCTTCCGGGAGACGGCGGTCGGCGCAAATGAGTCAGCCACTTGAGTGCAAATCGCCCCAACCACGCACGCAGCCATCCAAAGCAGCTCCAGATGAATGGTGAATCCCTGACGCGTGCGCATGCGTGGTGCTCTCACCCCTTGAGTCCACAAGGCGTGATCACAAGAAGCAGACGTAGACGACGACAAATGACCAGCTGGAAGATCACGAACTCCCAGGTAACACATTGCCTTGAAGAAAACCAATGCGTGCATTAACCGAACATGGGTTGGAAGGAATCCAACACAGTACGTAATACCTTCCTGGCTGTACACATGGGCTGTACGCTAGGGTTTATGCCGATGTTCACGGCTGTCCTCCAACCCTTGGGGCAGCGCCCCGTCCTGCTTCCTGCGTGAGCTGCGTGCTCTCCGCGAACTCAGCCAAGCTCTGCGGCGCACAGCCCTCCGCGCAGGCCTGGGCCACGCTCGCAGCCACCTCCGACGCTTCGACAAACCAGCGTTGCGCGACCACGTCAGCTCGCCAGGTGGCCCTTGCAGCGGCCCTCGGCGCAAACGGTGCGGCCTCGAGGGAGAGGATCCGTTGCACGCGGGTCGTCTAGCTGTCGGGCCACAACTCTGACCTCTGACAGGCGTTCGGGAGGATCCGGGCACCCCCAGAGCGCTCTCGGCGAAGGGCAGCTGCTGGAACGCCTCCCGAGGCTCGACAACCACCGAGAACCTACCGCCGAGTAGCCACGAAAACCTCGAAGCCCCTGATCTCGATCCTTCCTCCACAAGCGTGCCGACATGCCCCCAAGCTATGTCGCCCATGCACGTGATGTTGGAAAAGAAAAGGGGATGAGACGGGGTTGGCACTGCTCGTTGTGGCTGATGGGCAACCGATGGCAGCACCGCCCATTGAGGAACTATGAGATGAAGTCGAAGATGCGGCAGTCGCTGGACTGCCTGTACTGGTACCAGTAGAAGCATTGGTGGCCCCTGAAGTCGCAGCACTCGTAGTCTGCGTCGCATATGTGAATGAGGTCCCTAGTCAACTTGGAGTCGAGGCGCTCGCTGCCGCAGACGATGCACCGGCACATTGGCCGCTGCCGCCGTCGCCCTTACCCTTGTTGACTGCTGCAGCTGCCTGGAACCTCGCCTGGGGGATTCGCTCCGCCTCAAGCTTGATGGCCTCGTCATTCTCAATGGCGGCAACCTCGGGAGATGCGCCTGCCTGGCCGCCTCCGCTGCCTGCAACCGCCGTGGGCTGAGCAGCCGAGTCGTCAGCAGCGCCGTCCTGAGCAGCACCGCCGTCGG